CTGGAGGTCCTGGAGGTCCTGGAGCACTAGGAGGAGCCAGAGGAACCTGAGTTTTTCACAGATGATCTGTCTCATGTTCTACTGTCAGGTTATAGTGAAAGTTACAGCAAATATTAACAGAAGTTATTTTATAAAAGTTACCTACTGCAGCTTTAAACAGAATAGAGGCTTGAAAATGATTATTCAGGAACTCAATAATCAACACTTAAAGGTAACCCTCTGGAGTAAACAAACAAAAGCTATGCTAATGCTCTGTGTGTATCCTTGAGGCCTAACAAATGTATTTAGTGAATTTCCTTTCTAACAAAACACTTAGAAAGCAGATTTTATGAATCTTTGAAATCGTGTATTGTTTACATCCATGTTTGTCTTCCTCTTCCTCCTCCTCTTCCTCGTACAAACACTGCTCCTTAAAAACTCCACGAGGAACCTTTAAGTTGATGCTTTAAAGCTGCAGTAGGTAACTTTTATAAAATAACTTTCACTGTATCCTGACAGCAGAACATGAGACAGATAATCTGTGAATACAAATATCTGCAAATATTACCTGCTGCAACTTGAAGTAGAAGGATTTGAAACGATTTTACAAACGTATAAACAGGTAAATTAAATCACAAAGACAGATTAAAGAGCTCAGACTCCACACAGAGACACACAGCGAGGTTCTCACAGTTCTTCAGCTGGTATTCGATGGCAGCTTTGAGGTTGAAGGCTTCGATGAGGGCCGTCTGATGCAGCACCAGCGTGTTGCCCACGCTGTGGACGTCGATGCCCTCAGTCGTCATCCCGACGCTCAGCTCTGCCAGAAAAACCACGTAGGTCAAAAGGATGGAACACAAACAGATCGCTACAGTACGAGAGGCTCAAAGTTAAAAGACCTAATAACCTACGATCAATGTCAGTTAACAGCAGGACCGATGATAGTCCGGAGAGGTTTTACCTGGATGCTCCCTGATGCCTCGCTCTATGATCTCTGCGATGTATTTGAGGGCCTGAGGGTAGTTCTTCAGGCTGTAGTAACACAGGGCGATGTTGTAGGATAACGCTGAGAGACAGAAAGAAGAGAGAGGAACTTTAATCTGAGTTTCTCTTTGAGTTTATAATATTTCACATTTGAACCAGAGAGCTGCACAGTTAATAAAAATACTATCACAATCTCAATATAAGTGCAATATGTGAGTCACAGACGCTGCAGTTTCTTTATAAACTGTAAAATGTGAGACAAACTGCATTATAATGAATTATTATAGAGCTGCAGAGATACTATAGACAACAAATCATCTTTGTTTGATCCAGACCCCCAAAATAACGTCATCACAATTTTAATAGTTTCTTTCAGTGAAATTGCAACTGAATCTTTGTCCTCCAGGATATTCAAAATGAAATTACGTAACAATGACACATAGCAGGAATAGAGGAGAGGCAGTATGCACAGTCGAAAAAAAAAA